ACCCAGTGGGTTGTATGGCTGAGTTGGGAATCGAACCCTGGACTCCATAAGCCAACACTCAAACTATTAGCCGCCAAGCATTAGGGCTGTTGAATCAGTGGCATGGAGAAATACATCATCACAAATAATAATAATAGAAATCTAGAGTTGGCAGGGGCACCCAGAGGCTACCTACTCCAACCCTTCTGTGCAAGATCTCCAGCTAGAGCATCCCCAGCATAGAGATGCCCAGACGCTTTGGGGCGGGGGGGAAGACATCCAGAGACCCCATTACCTATCTGGGTCATGGGTTCCAATGCCCAACCATTCATGATCTCAAGAAGTTCCTTCTAATGTTCAGTCAAAATCTACCTCCCTGTAGCTAAAACCATTAGATCTGGTCCTCCCTTTGGGGGCAGCAGAGAATAATTATTCTGTGGGGCAGCCCTGGAGATATTTAAAGAGGACAACCATGTCCCTTCTTCGCCTTCTCTTCACCAAGGAGAACATGCCCAGATCTTTCAAACTTTCCTTATATCTTTTGTTCTCCGTCCCTTGTAGCATCCTTGTTCTCCTTCTGCTTCCAGCATGACTCTATCCTTCTTTAAATGAGGTGCCAGAACTGAACTCAGGACTCCAGATGAGGCCTGACCAGCCCAGAATACAGGGGGAACTATGACTTCCCTTGACTTGGAAATTCTAACAGTTTTCAGTTCCAGGATGACAGATTTTGATTGAACATTGGAAAGAACATCTTGAGGGTCAGAGCAGTTGGGAAACGGAACCCATGACCTGGAGAAATGGTGGGGTCTCCTTCTCTGGATGTCTTGTAAAAGATGCTGGGCAGCTATATGCTGTTTGGGATGCTCTAGCCGGAGTTCCTGCATGGGGTTTGGGGTTGGACTTTATGTCCTCTGGGTGCCCCTGCCAACCTTAGGATTTTAGGATTTAGTCAATAACATTTTGGACCACAGATTGAACATTTTGAACCTGAACGCTTCTTCCAAAATGCCTCCGGGGATATTTTCTCCTCTTTCACCAGCCTTCACTCTTCTTCTTATTTCCATTTTGGAGGCTAAACGTCTAGAGCAGTGTTTCCCAAACTTTGGTCCTCAAGGTGTTTTGGACTTCAGCTCCCAGAATCCATTCATCAGGAATGATGGATGCTGAAGTCCAAAGCATCTGGAGGACCAATGTTTGGGAGTCACAATTCTAGAGTCAGCGTGGCAGAGTGGTTTGAGCATTGGACTACGACACTGGAGAACAGGGTTCGATTCCTAGCTCGAAACCCCCTCACACTCTCTCAGCCTCAGGGAAAAGCAATGGCAATCTTCCTCTGAGCAAACCTTGCCAAGAAAACCCCATGATAGGGTTGCCACCAGTCGACACACAACAACAACAGTGGCTGAACTTTTCAATCTATGGTGGTTGATGTTTTTAAAAGCATGCTGGGATAATAGGGAATGGGTTTCCTTGCTTTTCCCTTTTTCCCGTTTCACTTTTCATTCAGTAAAGGAATCTGGAGGCAGCTGCCGTTTCCCTTGCCTGTTGCAGATAAGCACTACACATCCCATTCTGAGCCACATGAAGCTTTATTGCACGCTGCAAGCTGGCACCCAAAGCCTGTGCTTCTCCAGCCCTGTATTGCCATCCTCCCAATGCCAATGCTGCTAAAAATCTTCCAACTAGACAGAGGACAAGGAGGAAAAGGCAGGCGGGGGGGAGCGGACATAAAAAGACCTGGTAAAAAGGAGCTTCTTTTGT